CTGTCCTGACACACAGGCTAATATGGTATCTACTTGATAAGAGTCATTTTTGTAATAATCCTATGAGTTAGGAGCTCAGCAAGCTGCCTGGCATCTAGGAGGCACTCGGGAGATGTGGCTTTTTTTGGCTCTGCTGAGCTGCACAGATCCTGGCCAGGGCCGGACCCTGGGTACTCATGGGCTGGGCCAGGGGCCGGCGGCGGGGGCGGGGGAGTCTCCAGCCGCTGGGCCTCCTGGCAGGCGGGCTGGGTTGGCAATCTGGGCTCCGGTGCCCTACCTCCCTGTTCCCTTCCTGGCCGCCCTACCTCCCGTTGCCTTCCTGTGCCAGGCGGCCAGCCCTCGTTTGCCCCCACCTCCCAGCCTCCCCCTGTGCCCTCTCCACAGGCTGGTGAGGGCTCTGACGTGTGAAATAAAAAGGGATTTTAATTACCTCTCAGCAAAACAGCAATTAGAGAGAATCACAGCACAACAGCAGTCCCCTCCCCCACTCCCTCCCCCTGCCAGGTCTGCTTTCCCCCCTTTTTCTCCAGCCCCCACCCAAGCTCTGAGGCTGGATGAAACAGGATGCCCTCCATTTCAGCCCAGACCCCTGAACCCCAGAGCTGGGGGGCGTGTGGCAAAGGGCAGGAGGTGGTCTGTGCTGAGGGCAGGGCAGGGGTATCTCCATACTGTGGAGGCAGCCAGCACCCACCCACCTCTCTGGGGTCCTCGTGGGTCCCCCCAGGGATATGCATCCACTGCGTGTGCCCTGGTACACACTCGTGTGCATGTGTGTCTAGCACGTGTGAACACCCATGTGTGCATGCAAGCGTGTCAGCAACCTGGGGCAGTGCAGCCCTCAGGATGAGCCTGCCGCGCTGGGAAAGCAGCGCTGTTTCCAACAGGCTTTTAAAATAATTGCCTGTGACCCTAAGCCATAGCTCTCTGTCCTCTGTCCGCCGGCCGCCCCCGCCTTCCTGGCCCCCCCGCTGCCAGGGGTCACTTCTCCGCCCATCGTCCATCAGCAGAGCCTGGGACACCTTTGCTGCATTTGGGGAGGGGGCCAGGGAGGGCAGGGCGGGGTGTCCCCACAGGTGGCCTGAGTCTGGGGGCGGCTGGTGGTGGGTGGCTGATTGAAGCGGTAATTGCAGGCAGCAGGCCCTAGCTAATGCATGTTGTGATTAAGCCCCATTATGGAGGGAGGCCGCTCAAGCATGGTTGAGGGGGAGCAGACGGCCACTGTCACCTCTGTGGTCCCCTCCTCCTCCAGAGCTGCAGCCTGCCCAGCTGAGACGGGAAAGCCAGAACCTAGAGGTGGGAAAAGACCAGCTCCCCCCTACTCCACCCTGCCCAAACACAGTGCTCATTCCTGGGCAAAGGTCTGAAAGCCCCTATTCAGTTCTCTGGGGGGCCCCGCCTGCTTCTGTAGAGTGACCTTTAATCCTGGGGTTCCTGCGGCTGTGTTGGGTCCCCGGTAACCATCAGCCCCTCAGTCTCAGTGCCGAGGAACACATGTCACTGGATGGCAGAAGCCAGAATGGCTGCAGTGGAACTGCTGACGTCAGGGACCCCAGTCTCACCCCACCTCACTGGGAGCCACAGGTGCTAATCAGAGGCCCCTGGCTCAGATGGTAAAGAATCTGCCTGCAATGTGGGAGACCCTGGTTTGATCCCTAGGTTGAGAAGATCCCCTGGAGAAGGGACTGGCAACCCACTCCAGCATTCTTGCCTAGAGAATCACATGGGCAGAGGAGCCTGGCAGGCTACAGTCCATGGGGGTGCAAAGAGTCAGACACCACTGAGTGACTCACACTTTCATGCCCACCGGGATGAGGATAGAGCAGGCCCAAGCCCACTTGCCCCTGGCTAGGTGGGCCCTGAGGTCTGGCCTACTTCTCCATGGAAAATGGACTTCATTTCTCTTCTTTCACAGAGGCCCAGAGAGGTTACACAACTTCCCCAAGAACACACAGTAAGGGCTTTGTGTTAATCTAGTATTCCAGCCTGGCCACTCACCAGCCACGTGACTTTGTGACAATCACTTCATTTCTCAGGGCCTCAGCTGCTGCCTCTACAGAATGTGTGTGCACAGTCACTGTGTTGTGTCCCACTCCTCGTGACCCCATGGACTGTAGCCCAGCAGGCTCCTCTGTCCATGGGATTTCCCAGACAAGAATACTGGAGTGGGTTGCCATTCCTTTGGTGATACACATAGCACCAACTCCTAGAATTCTGAAGATTAAAGGAGATAACTTGGCACTTAAGCCCAGGACCTGGCCTGGGAGTCAGCTGCTCATATTCTTACACAAACTCGGCTCTTTTGCTCGTAACTCCTATGATAGGCACAATTCCAAGAGGCCCCTCAAGATCCCTGAGCCCTGGTGTACACACGTACTTCTCCCTGCTTTTCAACCAAACATAAATCCAGGTACTATTATGAAGGGATGTTGCAGAGGTAATTAAGATTCCAAACCAGTTGACCTTAAGATACGGAGATCATCAGACCTAATTACAGCAGTTTCTCGGGCTGGTGTCTGAGAGGAACACAGATTCAAAGCAGGACAAGAATTCTGTGCTGGGGAGACCTTTCCACTGATGACTTTGGAATTGGAAGGGCCACAAGGCATGGGATGCTGCTGAGAGCAACCCCTGGTTGACAACCAGCAGAGAGGCACTTTGATTCTTCAGCTGAAGGAATAGAATTCAGCCACAAACCATGAGGTGGGAGAGGAGCCTGGGCCCCAGAAGAGACCCCATCCCTAGCAGACCCGGACTTTGGCCTTCTGAGGCCCTGAGCAGAGAATCTAGCCGTGCTGCGCCTGGACTTCTGACCTGCAGAAACGGGGACAATAAACTTGTGCTGTTTTAAGTTACTATGTTTGTGGTGATTTGTTATCTGGTAATAGAAAACCAAGAACCCACGTTGGCAGTTTGGGCAGAAGGCCCTGGGACATCCCGCTAGGAGGGAGCTTGGTGCCAGGCTGAAGGTGTGCCAGCTCCAGGTGTGGCTGCTACTTGGGACCTGTGGGTGTGTGCCCACTGCTGGTACCTCTGTGGGGACAGAGCACCTGCCTCGGGCTGTAAGGGGTGGAGGGGAGGCAGACCCTTGGCAGCCAGGGTTCTTGCTTGTGGGCCTGCCTAGGGCTGGGGCCCCTGGCATCCTGCTGCCCATCCTCAAATCTGACCTATCACTGCATCCAGAGGATGTCTCAGGGAGCCCCTGGCCATGCATCGCCCCACACCCCAGGCTGGGAAGGCCTTAGGCAGAGGTGAGCATGGATATTCATGGTGAGCATAGGTGTTGGATAGGAGCTCTGATTCTGGAGTCTTACTCTCTGTCCCAAAGCTCCTCATCAAGGACAACTCCCTCCAAAAAACACAGCTTACAGGGGGGTCCTACCCAGGGCCAGACCTTGGGCCCAGCCCCCTTGAATCCCTCTGAGTCCTGCTGTCCCCTCCCCTCTGCAGCCGTGCTTTCTCTCCTACAAGGAACGGTTAGTGGCCCTGGCTTTAATTAGCTAACGATCCTCTTCAGCTCCAATCACTCTAAAAGATGAGAGTGCTGGGGGAGGGGACCTGAGCCTGGTGACCCCGTGAGACAAGGAACAGGCCCTTCAGGGCATGCTGGCTTCTCCAGGCTTAGCCCAGCCTGAGCCTCCCTCCTGGCCAGCACAGGCAACGGGTTGTGGTGACCCTTCCAGGAAGATGTGTCCCAGGCTCCAGGGTCCACCTCCCTGTTCCTCACCCCCTGCCTCTGGGGCCTTGTATCTGGCAGCAGGAGCTGAGCCACCTGTTGTGACCTGTCTGTCAAACAAGGGGCCTGACTGTCAGAGCTTGGACAGAGCATGAGCACAGGAGCTGCCCCACACATGTTACTGCGGGGGCTCCACCACGGCTGTGGGGGGGCTGGTCCAGATCTGAGCAGCTGCCTGGTCCACTCAGCTCAGGCCTTGCACCAGGCTCCATGGTGGCCACAAGGGTCACCTCTGTCTTGCAGGGAGAAGCACTCAGGCAACCTTACTCGGATGGAGACCTGCTTGACCCTGGGGACTAATGGGGTCTGGGAAGCTTGAAATGGACCTAAAGGAGGACAGGAGGGCTGGGGACGAGGCACTTGGGCAGAGGGTGGCAATGCTGTTAGACGGTGAGTGAGGACTACAGGAGATTTTCTTTTAATGAGTCCCAAGTTGTTGTTGTTTAGTCGCTAAGTTATGCTGGACTCTTTGCAACCCCGTGGTCTTTAGCCCTCCAGGATCCTCTGTCCAAGGGATTCTCCATGCAAGAATACTGGAGGGGGTTGCCATTCCCTTCTCCAGGGGATCTTCCTAAGCCAGGGATCAAACCCAGGTCTCCTGCATCATAGGTGAATTCTTTACCATCTGAGACACCAGGGAAGCCCGAGAATACTGGAGTGGATAACATATCCCTTCTCCAGCAGATCTTCCTGACCCAGGAATCGAACTGGGATCTCCTGCATTGCAGGTGGATTCTTTACCAGCTGAGCTACCAGGAAAGCTCCCAATACACTCCCCATGGTTTAAGTCTTTGAAAGCAAGAATGTTTTGGGGATGATCCTGGTGATCCAGTAGTTAAGACTGGGTGCTTTCACTGCAGAGGGGCATGAGTCAATCCCTGGTCATGGAACTAAGATCCCACATGCCGCACAGCACAGCTGAAAAAAAAAAATAAAAACAAGAATGCATTTGTACATTTTTCTTATGTGAGATAAAAAGCTGCTCTAGAGGTTGGCAGGTGATGCCAGAGAAGAATCTGCCCAATGGGGATGAAAGCCTACCACAGGGAGGACAGGAGAGGGGAAGAATGCCCTCTCTGTGATCTGATGGGCCCCAGAGTCAAGGAGAGATGTGTGTGAGGACTGAAAGTCTGGGCAGGTTTGTAGGTGAGGGCGCTGCCCTTGGGGTGAGGCTGGCCCTGGAAGATGCTTCACATAGGTTGTTCTATGTGCTGACCACGGCTGTGTGAGAACTTTCCATGACGATCAAATATGTCATCTGTTCCAGACTCTGGGCTGCACAGCTGGCTAAGATGCAGGTGGTGTGATGGGTGTCCAGGGAGGACAAGCCCCCAGCCACAGAGGTGGCACAGGACCAGAGAAGAGAAGCCGGCATCCCAAGAAGGATGAGTGGCAACTGGCCAATGGAAGAGGTGCTGGGAGACGGTTGTTCCAGCAGCCGGAACAGCAAGTGCTAAGGCTCTGAGGTGAGCGAGAGTCTCCCAACAGAGGTCTGGGAAATGACAGTAGATCAGAGTGACCTACTTCCCCCTACTCACTGGGGGAAGTGAGGTAGGGGGTAGGGAGACAGAGAGAGGAGAAGAGGAGAGAAGGATGGGGAGAGGTCACTGCCTTGGGGCCACTGAGGTGTGAGTTCTATCCTGGGGGTGAGGAGAGGCACTGGGAGCCAGAGGTCAGTGGGGAAACTGGGACAACTGTCCAGGTTGGGTTGGGTATAGCAGGCTGTTGGAACCTAGCGGAGGAGCTCAGCTGGAAGTCAGCACTGGGGAGACTCTGGAGCCCAGCTCAGTGAGGGCCAGTAAGTTTGGGGAGGAGAGGGACCAGGGCAGGTAGCCCCAGAGCCGTCCCTCCAGACCCAGGAATCTGAAAGCAAATAGAGAACAAGTTCCCTAGCCCCTTGCCTGATCAGGAGCAGACCTCACTGGGAGCTCTGGCAGGACTGACAGGTGCTAGCAACAGAGAAGGAAGAATGAAGGCACAGGCTGGGTGGTGGGGTACAGGGCCCCTTGGGGTCCCCCAAGGGCTGCTGCGGGCACCCAGCTTTCCAACAGGAGTCTGAGTCAACACAGTGATGGCCGCCCAGCAGCTCCGTCCTTTCCCCACCCCCTCCCTGCCACCCCGGCCACTTGGGAGAGTCATTTCATTTCTCAAATTAAAAATCCATTCTGTGCTGTGAATAATAGATGGGATGAGCCCTGGGAGGCTGGGAGGACAGGAAGCTGGTTGGGGGAGATGTTTTCCAGGGCGAGACAGATCCTGCAGCACTCTCGGTGGGGCAAGTGGACTGGTGGAGTGGGGTCGAGTCAGGGGGCATCTCCCAGAGCTGAGGCAGGGCTGCGGGGTTCAGGTTTGAGCAGCGGGCAAAAACAGAGGCACAGGCTGTCCCCACACATACAAGCCAGATGGGTATAGAAATGGGTCTGATCACCATAGGCTCCAGGTGGGGCCAGGCTGGCTTCAGGTCAGCAGCCCTCCTGTGAAGTCAAACACTTAGCACCTGACTTGGTGGAAATTGAGCAGACCTGAGTCCTCAGTGTGGGCACACAAGGGGTTGCACCCCTCCCCAGGCATCCAGACCTGGGGATGCCCTGCCATCTGGGAAGGGGAGAGGTAGAGGGTCCCCCTACCTCTGCCCCCAGCGCTGCCCTCCTTTTCCCTCTCTAACCAGCTCCCCTGCTGCCCGCCCACCCCTGAAACCAGGCATCCAGCTGCCTCCTCTGGGCTTGGCTGTGTCCTTTCATCCTCCTGCTTCTCAGTCAGAAGAACAAGACAACGAGAAGGGACACTGGACACTGGGAACCTCAAAAGGAGAGTGAGGGAGCCGGAGGCCAGATACCTACCACCCTCCACTCATCTCCACTCAGCTCTGCTTTCTGAGGACAGAAGTGCCTGGGAGGCAGGGCTGGTCACTATTGGTGGGCAGTGCAGGGGGGTCTAGGACTGAAGGGTCCTGGGCCCAGTCCCCACTCAGCCCCTGTGGGCCCTGGTGGCTGTGCTCAGGCCTGGGGGAGCCTCTGGGCTGGGGGTGGGGGTGAGGTGCTGTACAGAGAGAGATGGAACCAGGAAGACAGGGCGGCGGGGCCAGGGCAGTTGGGAGGCAGATGAATGGATCAATGGCAGCTGGGCGTTTGGAAGAGGGCTGGCCGTGAGGGAGGTCTTATGGCTGACCTGGGAGGGAGGGGGGATGGAGGAGGAGCTGAGGGCCTGGGTCCCCCACCTCCCAGTGGCTGGAGCGGCAGAGTCCCTGGGGAAGCATGTTTGCCTTTGTGCCTTTCTGTCGGAAGAGAGTCAGCTCCCTGAGACAATATCCATTTTTATATTTCTTGGAAATTTCACGGCATTCATTTCAGGGAAAATAAAAGCTGTCATTGCTGGAGAAATGATACCAATCAGGGCCTGAAAAGGCTGGAAAATTATCCTCCTGGAGACAAAATGTTGAGGGGAAAATGCAGATTAAAAGCACAAAGAGACACTTTACCACCATCCTGCCCTCCCCTCCCCCTGTACGGAATCACCACATTTTACATAACTCCACCTTCCCTGGGTGGAATTAATTGTACCCAAGAAGAACTAACTCATGGGTCAAAGGAGGACTGTGAGATGGCCAGAGATGGAGACAGAGAGTATCCAGAGTGGTAGCTCAGAGGTGGACACAGAGACAGACAGGGACAGGCAGGATGCGGGCAGAGGTGGCCGCTTAGGGCCTGGCTGATAAGCAGCCCCAGGGAGGGGAATGGACAGTGGGTTCTTTAGTCCCTGCCTCACTGTGGTTTTTATTAGATGGGGCCCCATGGCAGTCTCAGGCAGTCTCCAACTCCGTTTAGGTGAGTCCTGCAAGCTGGAACCCTCAGGCCTGGGAGCACTGGTGCTTTGTGGGGTGCCCTGCTAGGGACCATGGAAGCAGAGTGGGTGGACAGCTCGGGGCAGAGAAAGCAGAGACTCCGGAAATGGTATCATTCATCCAAGAAACAAGCCCTGAGTTCTGTGTGTCCTGCATGGACCAGGCCCTGCTGGTACAGTGTGAAGTGAGGTCTGGCAGCAGCAGGCTGTGTCCAGGGGCTGGGAGTCATGGTAGGGAGGTCCCATATTAAAAAAGCAAGTTGAGGAACTTCCCTCCTGGTCCAGTGGTTAAGATTCCATGCTCCCACTGTGCAGGAGACAGGTTCAGTCTCCAGGAACTAAGATCCTATAGGCCATGCAGCACAGCCAAAAACCTACAGACAACAAATTCAAATTGAACCAGAAGAAAGAAGTGGGTGGATAAATCCATAGTCCCCCATCCTGACCTGTCCCTCACCTCTCCAAATACCAGGGTCCTGAGGTCCAAGGGCCTGTTTGAGGCAGAGCCCGCAGGCCCCCGTGCTGGCTCCTGCAGGGTGGGTTCTTTCATTACTTTCCAGTCGTTTTCTCCCCCCTGGGCCAGGGGCTTCCAGCGGGTACCACGGCCAGCCAAGGTTTGGGGGCGGTGCTGAGTCTGGCCCTGTGGCCCCTTCTTGTAGTAGTCTCCAGAGCTCTTCCCCCATCACTGCCAACCAACACCCAGGCGCCCGCGGTGGTGGACGGGAGGTGGGGAGAGGTGGGGAGGCGTGGGGAGAACTGAGGGGTGGGCCTGGGCATGGACAGGAGCTAAAGGAGAGGATTGGGAAACCCCCGGATTGAAAGCGCTCTGGTCCAGGCGGTACCGGCACTATTTCAGCGCGCCCCACAGCCTATCCGTGAGTCCTCCCTGGACGGTGCTCCAGTCCTGTGGGCTGGGCTGGGCTGGCTCATCGTCTCATCAGCTTTAGCTTGAGCCCCTTTCAGACAGTCTGGCAGGCAGCCCTGCGTGGGGGTGGGGGGCGGGCATCGAATCGGAGGGGACATGGGACCCTCATTCCTCTCGGGACTAGAATTCCCGAGCCCAGAATCGGTGCCAGACCCTTGGGAGCTTGTTCCCGCAGCCGCCTTCCCCGCCCCCGAGCTGCCACCGAGCTGACAGGTAGCCGGGATGCAGGCAGGAAGAAGGAGGGGGTGCGGGGGGCGCGCGGAGGAGGGTGGAGCCGCCGGCTCGCCCCCTCCCTCGGGGCCGGCGGGCGGCGCAGCGCGGCGCGGCAGCAGAGGAGGCGGCGGGCGCACGGAGAGAGCGGCCGCCCGCCCCGCTCCGCCCGGGCTCCGGCTCCGGCTCGGGCTCCATCTGCGCTGTTTCCGCGCCGCCCGAGCGCGCACCTGCCGGGTAAGTGGCACCCGAGCCCGCCGCCGCCGCGGCCACCGTCAGCCACCTCCGCCGCCGCGCCGAGCCTCCAGGCTTTGTCTGCGTCCTCGTGGCTCTGGCTCCGGCTCCGGCTCCGGCGGCGACTCGCGGGCTCGGTTCTCCGGCTCCGCGGACTGCCCGGCGCCGGCGGAAGGCTGCGCACCAAGAGCTCGGGGCGCACCGGGCCAGCTCGCTCTGTGCCGGGGATGAAACTTCGTCCAAGTTTGGGTTCCGGGGAGAACCTGTTGAAGCCGGGAGGGGCCGGGGGGCGAGGACGCGGGACGGAACCGGTTCCAGGTCTTTTAGGGCCGTCGGGGCTTTCTCCCTGATCCTGGGTGGGACGGCGCGCCGGCGCGGGGGCTTGGGGAAGGGACTGGTGAGGGTTCTGACCATTGAATAGAGAGGACGGGGCCGGGGATGGCTCTGCGGACAGCCGCGAGGACAAAGTTTGGTTCTCGAGTCTCCTTCTTGAGCATCTAGTTCCAGTGCGGAAAGCTGAAGGCGGCTTCACGGGCCGCATAGACGCCGCACTGACCACACCTCCTTTTCCCGGCCTCAGCTTTCCCCCTCCCCCCATCTGGCCTTGGCTGTAGCAGGTCGGGGGCAAGCAATGCAGAGGAGAAAACCAGCCTTTCATTGACGGCCTACTATATGCCAGGCCCGGTGCCCAGCGCTTTATTACAGGGGCCTCCCCAATCTGCGGCGGGCACGTGTGTGCAGGGACAGAGGACGGCAATGGACGGACGGTGCCTACAGTGGCTGGTGGCCGCTGGGAGCCTTCTACCTCCCTCCATCCCCGAGTGACGCAGGGAGGCCAGGCCCCAGGCCCACTCGCTGTTGGGGATTCCGGGTGGCCTCCAGCCTTTGGACCTAGGCCTGTACCCTTCCTCGTCAGGCTCGTGGGTCCCGTCGGGCCCCAGTGCCTTTCTGAACCTGTGTCTACTTTTCCTGCAGCTGCGGCCCAGGGGCCATGCAGAGGCAGGCTGGGAGCCTGGCGGCCCGGAGCAGCCTGCTGTAGCAGAGACCGCCCAGGGCTGCGCGGCGGCGGCAGCGGAGCCATGGAGGCCCCGTATTCGATGACAGCACACTACGACGAGTTTCAGGAGGTGAAGTACGTGAGCCGGTGCGGTGGGGGAGGCGCGCGGGGAACATCGCTGCCCCCCGGCTTCCCGCTGGGTGCGGGGCGCAGCGCCACCGGGGCCCGAGCCGGGCTGCCGCGCTGGAACCGGCGCGAGGTGTGCCTGCTGTCGGGGCTGGTGTTCGCCGCGGGCCTTTGTGCCATCCTGGCCGCCATGCTGGCTCTCAAGTACCTGGGTCCGGGGGCGGCGGGGGGCGCCGCCTGCTCCGAGGGCTGCCCGGAGCGAAAGGCCTTCGCGCGCGCCGCCCGTTTCTTGGCCGCCAACCTGGACGCCAGCATAGACCCGTGCCAGGACTTCTACTCCTTCGCGTGCGGCGGCTGGCTGCGGCGCCACGCCATCCCGGACGACAAGCTCACCTACGGCACCATCGCGGCCATCGGCGAGCAGAACGAGGAGCGCCTGCGGCGCTTGCTGGCGAGGCCCGGGGGTGGGCCGGGGGGCGCGGCCCAGCGCAAGGTGCGCGCTTTCTTCCGCTCCTGCCTGGACATGCGGGAAATCGAACGGCTCGGCCCGCGGCCCATGCTCGAGGTCATCGAGGACTGCGGGGGCTGGGACCTGGGCGGCGCGGCGGAGCGCCCGGGGGCGGCGGCGCGCTGGGACCTCAACCGGCTGCTGTACAAGGCGCAGGGCGTGTACAGCGCCGCCGCGCTCTTCTCGCTCACCGTCAGCCTAGATGACAGGAACTCCTCGCGCTACGTCATCCGCGTGAGTGAGCCACCCCCGCAAGCCCCCGTCACGGGCACCCCCACAAGCGGCTAGGAACTAGGAGTGCCGCGGCCTGGCACGCCTGCCCCGCGCGCCCCGCGCGCCCCGTGCGCCCGGGAGACCGGTGCGGAAGGGGGAGGTTAGGGGAATGGAGGGGAGCGCACACCGGCAGAGCGCGGGAGGAGGGCGCAAGTAATTTCCCTCGAGTAATTGCGGTGTTTAGCGGAGCCGCGGGAGCCGCAATTTCCCAGCCCTCTGGCAGGCGGTGAGAGCTCGGGGAGGGGTGTGCTGATGGGCTGTGGTGACAGGCCTGTCGGGCTGGGGCTGGCTGGAATGCCTGAGAGTGGGGGCGGGCGGGGGTCAGCTGTCAGTGCGCGAGAGAGTGCCCCTCAAGGGTGGGGAAAGGAAAGGATTTCAAAAGGAAAGACAGGGACGGGTGGCGGGGGCCTGGGTGGGGGGTGTAGGGAGGGTGGGGGCCGGGGAGCCATACCCATTCAGTCCCCAGTTTAGGCCAGTCAATCAGTCCTGGGGGCTTAGACCAGCTGCTCTGGATTTGGAACAGGCGCTGTCGTCTTTATGCTCTGGGGGCTTGTGACAGTGGATGCCTGGCAAGTCCTCCGTTTGCCTTTTGGAAGGGGATTCAGTCTGTTTGCAGGAACCCAGAGTGTTGATGTCTGAACCCCATCTCTCCCCAGATTGACCAGGACGGGCTCACCCTGCCAGAAAGGACCTTGTACTTAGCTCAGGACGAGGAGAGCGAAAAGGTGTGGGACCTTGGGATGGGGTTCCAGGGAAGCCCTGGGACTCTGGGAGGCATGGACCGGGGCCTGGCACCGCCTGCATCCTTGCCCTGCCCCTTCCTGGTGCAGATCCTAGCAGCATACCGGGTGTTCATGGAGCGCCTGCTCAGCCTCCTGGGTGCCGAGGCAGTGGAGCAGAAGGCCCGGGAGATCCTGCAGCTGGAGCAGCAGCTGGCCAACGTGAGCAGGC